CCAGCTCTCACTTGTGTGGATGATGCTATTTTTTACTGCTACAAGCTGAAAGGTCCTTTAAATACTGCACAAACAACAGAGATCATGCTCACGTTTTCTAAGGATTAAAAAAAGTTTACTATTCACCAAACTGTAGCTGCAATTCTTTGCAATACACTCCAATCAATGGTAAAAGTCTGAACAGCATTTAACATTAATTTTACTGAGTATCATATTTCCATGCTTCAGTATTCTGAATGCGTCTTTTTTTTTTTTCTGTGTGTGGGAAACAATATATCTAGACATTAGCTTTACATCTTCTGCCAAGAGTTAAATCTTAATTCCCACATTGCTGTGCATTTAATCATATGAAGGCATTATTTTGCTAGACACACTCACTCCTGAAAGCAAAATCAAGTCCTACAGTGCAGCTGAAATTTCAACTAGTTACAACACAACACATTTCCTCACTGTTATCTAAGTTTGACTTAGTTCTTCTAGCATTGTTCAGCCCTCCTCAGAAAAAAAAAAAAAAAGTTAATCAGTGTCACCTAATGTGAATAGAGAAGTTTGCAGAGAATCTATCCCCCGCTAAACAGAGGATGTTATTGGCGTAAAAAAAGTTACAAGCACTGATTATTTAGCCCCTTCTCGTCTAACCACAAATACTATGCTCAGACTTCATGGGATTATCAACATCCAGAAGCTGCATACTTTAAAGGAATTTCTACAGTTTTCTGCCTGTTGAAACAAGAAATCTTTAGATAGCCTACTCCTACTCAAACATAATATAAATTAAGAAATATTTTAAAATCAGCATTCCCTCCTATTCTAAAGCAACGGACCAGATACAAATATGAAAAATATCAAATTCCTCATACGGTTTTACCACTGAAAAACCATAGAAACAACTAGAACATGATGATGGAGATTCACAGCGCTCTGCATGAGATGTATTAGGTCAACTTTGAAAGCAGAAGGCAGCAACATCCAAATGTTTATCAGCCCTACCCTCTTACCTTAGGTTCTACAGACAATTAGGAGAAACTCAACAAGACCCAGCTCCATACCATCCCATTGCAGTTTTGGAATATCTACACCAGTTCTCTCCTTCCCACCCACAGGAGTCCACATGCTGCCTGCCTGCTTCACGCCACACAGCCCAGCCACCTGACACAAACAGTGGCTGTGCTTTCTGAAGTTACCCACTATCAGCCTAGATAAGCTGCAGGCAGTGGAAAACCTGCCACAGACGAGGCAAAACATCCAAGCAAAGACAACTGAGCTGCAAACAGAAACCAGGAAGCTGAACTTGCTGCTGTTGCCCTGTAAGTCAGGTGTAAAGAAAACTTTACATGGAAACCATGCCTTGCACCACACTAGTGAAATTACAGCACACTCAGGGCACCTTTTCTTTGCTGACACCGTGCTTGCTCAGCCCCACCAGTGTTAGCAGTAATGGAAAGCATAAAATAGAAATACACGCACCAGAGGCAGCCAATGCTACAGTGGAGAGTGATGGCAGCTGCTGCCATAGCCCTACATGGCATGAGGTGAGGTTTTCAAAGAATTTTCCTGCTTTAAGCAAACTGAAGGTAACAGTGGAGGATCCCTGGCATCTAGCTCAGTTCTGTACTTTTTCATCCCATCAGCAGAGAAGCAGATTTATCTTGTCCTTTCAACACCTGCTTGTAATGAGCATTCCAGGGCCAGGGATAGACTGAAAACACAGACAGAGAAGTGACAAAAACCTAACTTCAAGAAAAGCAAACAAAAGCAAGAAAAAACATTCTTTTTGGTTTTTTTATGCTCTTTTTCTACCCTCCACTTCTCCAAAGCAGTGTGGGGCCCAAAGACACTAAGGTGAACTACAGACATTTGTCACGGTCCTTGTCTCTCCCTTCCCAATTATTTCCTCCTGTTTAATAGCACAGCCCATCCATTTCTCCTCCCCATTAAGCTCCAGTTAACCAAGGACACAATATCTTGTTAAGCAGATGGTCCATGACATGAGACTTTTGCAGGTTTGTTCACATCAGCACAGGCCACATGGAGCTCAGCACTGAGGCAGCGCTGTCCTCACCATGCTGCTCTGCTCTCTGCAGACCCAGACCACTACGTGCAAAGCTTCTGAAATGCTGCTAGCCTCGCTGCTCTCGTCAGCAAAGAGGCCAACTGAGGAAAGGTCCCTTAAGTAGATCGAATTCCCTTCATGTGGGAGGACATAGCCCAACCATTGAGTCTGAGAGCTGATGGTAGCACAGTAAGAAGACCAAACCCACCCCTGAAATCTGATCAACTGAGTCCTAGTGAGTGCTCAAACCTCCGGTGGTGGTCAGCCAGGGACGGACTGGAGCAGGAGGACGGCCTTGGGTATCTGCAGCACTGCTCTGACAGCTGGCTGCCCCACTGAAAACCAGCACTTTGTAGAGGAAATCATAGGAAGGTGACCATGAGCAAGCCTGAGTCCTTCAAGACCAAGAGAACTCGTAAAGCACAGTTGTCCTTCCTGGGCAATCAGACAAAAAGAGGCACTTAGCAGATGGGCAACCTGTGCTCAGGGACACGAGGAGTCAGCCATTATCTAGTCATCTGCTTTTCCCAATTCCTGGCTTTACTCTGAGCAAGAGTAAAGGGGAGGTAGAGACAGAAAAGAAAGAACAGCGTAAATCCCAGTTTTCCATGAACCTCCACTGCCCTCCAGGTCACAGAGGCAAACACAGCTCCGCTGGTGCCCTTCCTTCCCCAGACTGCAGTGCCATGGAAGCAATGCACACTCCAGGCCACAAGCAGCTCATGAGTAACTCAGCACGACCAATAAGGGCAGTGCTGTCCAGCCTTCCTGAGAACAAGCCACCTCAAATACGGCCCTTTGAAACTCAAGGGAAGGATGTTTTCTGTACGCATTTTTCTTAACAGGTGCCACAAAAGATGAATGCCATGATTTTAAACCTAAGTGCAGTCTCCATTCTGTATTTTATTCTGTATAGCTAGATTTGGCGGTTTATTTGAAATAAAAAACTTTTCAAGCCTAGGAATTTGGTGGACTATTCCACTTCCTTTTTTTAATGCTGCTAACTCTTGTAGCTTTAATGCTATCTTGCATTTTTTATTATTAATTAAAAATTGAATCCACCTACAAGACAGAAGTAAAATACTAACATCTTTTCAAGACAGAATGCATTTTTATACAACCTTGCAACAATTACATAGACAAGTTTCCCTGAAACATTGATCAATTTGAAATCTGACATCTAGTTTCTTCTGAAGCACTGAAGTCCATGCAGTTATTCTTATTTACAATGCTGCAGAGTACCAGCACCTCTGAACTTCTGATACAGAGACTGCATTGTTCCAGGAGCAAGGAAAACAATCTGATGCAACTGAGGGGTAATACTACTTTTGAGACATCTGCTTCCTACCACAATACAAATCAGATGACATTTAACACTATACCTGAATGCAATCAAACCAAAGCTGCTATAAAAAACCTGTAAGTTTTGATAACCTGAAGTTCCCAAACCACAGGCAACTCACATGATCATCCACCTTCACAGAAAGGTGTTTAACTCAACATCAATACATTCCAGAAAGCAAAAGTATTAGATAAAAAACCTGAATACCTGGGAAGCCCTGCTACAAGAAATTAATTTATTTCCATTATGGTTCATTTCAGAGGAAAGTTGGCAAGGATTTAAACTCATCCTTGACTGCTGTTACCCAGACATTACAGCATCATGAGTGCTGGGAAATCTACAGTCAAACTGACTGACTAAAGACTTTTTTTTTTTAATTAGCATTATATATTTTCTTGGGAGGTGCATGTCTTTTATCAAAGACACTGAGATTTTTAAAAAAATGAGGAAAGAAAAAAAAAAACCAAATATGCACTACCAGCACAGGGATTACTGTAAAGCCAGTCATCCTTTTCAGCAATATCCAACCTGAAAGTAATTGCAACAGATGCTCCAACAGCAGAACTGTCCTGGCAGGAAATAATTATAGCATCAAATAGCAATGAAGTCATTACATATCTCGGGGTCTCAACAGAGTGAGATCAAAACTACTGGAAGCAATGTCCCATTTTTTTTTAAAGCACTTAAATACAGCCCAACAGGGAGAAGTGGGAAGTTCAGAACCAACAGCATCTTCTTCCTCTTAAGAGAAAGTGCAGGTGGAAGCTCTTGCTAATCCTCTGTTGCTATCCAAGTATTAAGATGCCTGTATCAGCATTGAGCAATTCCTACGTTATTTTCACTGCTGCTATAGGAAGCACATCTATAAATAGGGCGGTATATCTCCGAACCCTGATGTTTCACACAGAGGGTTTATAGAAAAGAAGGGTTTCAAGGAGCAACACGTAATGAACTATCAACTCTGTCCTCTTTAGGCACGGCAGTATTTTGTTCCGTGAACAGTCGCATGGGCCTGGTTGTGCCGGTGACAAAAATTCCCGCGGGACCGCCCGGTCGGAGGCGAGTGCGGCGGCCTGACCCCTCCGTAAGTTACGGAGCCGCTCTGCAGCCGCCAGCCCACGCTCACACCCCCTCCCCGAGGTACTCCTTCATCCAAGTTCCACTAAAGCCTCGAGCAGCCTTTTTCAAGTCACATATAAGGGCAGCTTAGCTGAGTTTTTGGTTACTTCTGCTCTTCGTGCTATCCACCAAAGTAAGAAGTTGCCTTTATCCAGAGACTTCCAGATCCATCCGCCAGACAGGCTGTAAGCATCCCCAGGGCTACCCGACTGAATCTAGTCTCAGTGCCCATGCCCGCAAGGCAGACTCACACGCCGGTTCCCAGAAGTTTGGGGCAGACAAGCAGCCCGAAACACGCACCACCACTACATCACCCCCGCCCCCGCCGCCCGCCGTCCTTCGCCGCGGCTCGTCTCCAGCAGCAAGGGCAGCGCGGCGGGCTCCGTCCTGCCCACCGCCCGCCCGGCAGCGACGACCGCGACATGCCGGCTAAGTCGCGACACGGGACGTGCCCGCAGCCGGGGCAGCCGGGGAGGGATCACTCACCTGGGGGCAGCTGCAAGTTGGCCGGCAACTGGAGGGCGGCCGTGGGCGGCCCCTTGGGCGCCACCGGCCGCGGGCCGCCGGGAGCGGCCCCCCGCACCGCCGGGGTCCCCGCGGGGGCGGCCGCGGGACGCGGCGGGGCGGCAGCGGGGCCGCCGGGCACAGCGGCGGCGGGGCGGCCCCGCTCGGGCGCCGAGCCCGCGGCTGGGGTGCTGGCGGCCGCCTGCTCCGGGTGCCCGCCGGGCATCAGCCTGACGGGGGCCGCCGAGGCGCTCATGGAGGAGGAGGCGGCGGGGGCACGGGGGGCGGCCGCGTCGCGCAGAGCCCCGCGGCGCCCCGCAGCATCGCGGGCGGGGTGCGCTCAGGCGCTGCCCCGGCCGGCGGCTCGCCCGCGGAAACACATGGCAGCGCCGCTCCTCCGGCTCCCGGGCGCCGCGCACGTGGGCCCGGCCGGCCCGGCCTCCCCTGCCGGCGGCGGGAGGGCAGGAGGGAAGGAGGAGGGAAGAAGGGCGGTCCGATGCCGCCAGCGCGTCCTACTGCGGCGGCGCCCGGCCCGGCCCCGCCGCCCCTTTCAGCCCGCCCGTATTTATGGAGCCATGCGGACTCCAGCGCCCGTGGCGCGTTGAAGTTGGCGGCAGCGGAGAGAGTCCGGGCGGGCGAAGCGGGACGCGCCCGGAGCCCCGGGATGGGGGCGAGGCGCGGGTGGCCGCGGCAGAGCCGCGGAGCTGCTCCTCCCGCCCTGCCAGCCTCCGGCCCGCCTACCTGCGCCAGACCACCCCCGGCTGTACCTGGGCTGCAGGTGCCCTTGGGCTTCCATTTAAAACAGGAGCGGCTCCGGCAAGTGTGGGAGTTCATCGTGTCGTGATGGGAACTTGCTGACAGACCGAGGCGGCGAAGCCAGCGCGGATCTGTATGGATGAAGGGGACAGCGTTGTCTCGTTTGACCTTCATGCCCGGGGCTCGACCTGAAGAAAGGCTGAGAGAGGACGTGGAACTCAGTCCCCCTTGTGAAGCAAGGGTGATGCTGACAGAATACACACGACACAGCTCTAAAAACAAATTTTAGAATATAACAGAAAGTTTTTGCAACTGTGATATGGAACTCAGCATGACCTTCAGTAATTCTGCTTTGAGGTCGTTGTGTATTGTAGCCGAGTCTAGATTAAATTTCAGTACATTCTGAAGCATGTTGATGCACATGCTTTATTTTATGCATAAAATTTAAGGAGTATTGCTTACAACTACTCAAACTGAGCACAACATAAACAATTACAAAATACAGGGCCTATTGTATGGTTCATTAAAGTGGTACAAAAAGCTCGAAATCCAAAAAATATTAGGAGGAAAAAAAATTATTCTTGTATTAGACTTCCCTTGCAACTACGTTTTTCAGATAGAAATGTAGACAAAAAAGGTAAACACTCCTCTTTTTGGCCATTTTGAGTAACAACTTTGCTTGATTCCACAGCATTAGTGCTTTATATTGCTGTCAGCAGAAACAGAGAAGAGAAATTTCTTACCTCTTGCCATGCCTACTCTCTTCCAGAGCAAATCAACCCAAAATCTCAAAGAGGTGGCAGCAACAATGGTCAGAGTTTCCAAGTGTCAGAGCGAGCTAAGAAGATGGTGAAAAATAAGAGGTGGTAACGCAAGAGAGAGCATCCTCTGTGCTTCCTACAGCTCTGCCAAGTTGGACCAAATTACATCACTTCTTACACATATGAAGCTGTGTTACACAAATAAAGTAACAACCAGGGTACAGTGAGTTACCTCCTACATGCCAAAGGATGCACAGAGACCAGGAGAGAGGGATGCTTCAAGGGATTTCAGCGAAGGCCAGCAGTGACTGACTGCAGAAGGGATGAGGATGCAAAGCAAGGCATCATGTTTTTTATTCTTGGACTTCAAGAAGAATGGAGTTGGCTTTTTGCTTAAAGTTTTTATCTTCTTGCAGTTATTTAACTTTAGAGGGAATCTCTGAGACCCTATGCAAATGCTCAGCAATGAATGTGCATCTGAAAGAGGCAAAAAGAAACAGCTAAAGACAACAGAAGTGTATGCACCGAAGCTGCAAAGTATTGTGTGAAAATGAGAAATAGAAAATACAGCATAGTGAGAGAAAAAAATACACAAATCAAGGAGTGAAGGAAGCAATATGGAATGCATTACAAGAAAAGACATACCACAATTGCAATATAGAGAAAAAAAAACATACCTACAATATACAGAAATATGAATATCTTTTTAAAAAATTAAAGTGCCATAAGTATCTTCTCCAAACAAAGCAGAGGGCACCCATCATTATATGAAACTGCAGAGGAAATGAGTCCTTTTCCCACACTGGAAATGTGTCATCAATAAACAGAGGTCAGTATGCACTCTTAGAGGTCCAGTATGCACTCTTTATTAACATAGTTAAGAGAAATACAAAAAGTCATTCAGAATAAAAATGAACAAAGGATCTGGAACTTGAAAGATGTTTTCATAACTTAAGAGGTTACAACACATGTAAAGAAGTTATTTTTGTCATTTCCTGGAGATTTGGGGTTTTTAAAAATCTCTATTCTCTTGGGTAAATATCACCATCAAAAAACCCCAAAAACCAAGCATTGAAAAACTCTGAATTAAGTCATCGTTCTTGTCTACGCTCTTTTTTCCCATGAGACCTTATCTAAGGGATACTGCTAAACATGGTAATTGCTTTCCAAAGCCAGCTGAAGATGCATCTAACCATGTAACTGTTCCTTCCATGAACACCCAGCCTTGGCAAACTGACCTGCTTTACTACTTCAAATAACACATGAATGGGTGCATCTGACATTCATATGGATGTCCCTTCTTCACCTTCCAGGCACAGGAAAGCATTACAGCAAACAGCAGCTCAGATTTCCTTTCCAAGAGCTATTAGGTTAGATAGATACTGCCTGTAATTGCTCTGCATAACCTGTTTCCAACAGCTGAGGCCTTCACAATGCACACTGAATCAGTCTGTGCTGTTCTAAACTTTCTGGAGGCTTTCAAAAAGCATATTTAAAACACAAACCACCCTCAATAAAGCCACTTGCCCTCCAAAATTTCTATCCACACACCAAGACTTAACTCTTCCAAAGATGGACCTTTTTAAGTCCTTAGGTGTTAAGCCAGTTTCACATACAGCAATATGATTTCAGCTTCCTATAATCCTATAAAATCTATTTAGTATGCTTCAAGGTTTGTTTGGGGTTTTTTTTTGTCCATGATTCTTTTTACAAAAGTTTTATATTCTCTTAGTTGGAAATTCGGGAATATAATACATGAGCAAAAAGACTAAGTAAGGGGAATGAAAGTTGTAAACGTGTATATATTTACTAATGAAAACAAAGTGAAATCACAGATAGCTATTTAATGTCAGCAGTAAACACACCTGCATTTTGGTTGCAATTTCAGTAGATTTGTTTGTTTGCTTGCTTATAGTCAGAGATACAGTCTGCCCTGGTTTTTGTCTTGACTGATGATCTTTTCATGGAGATGCCTCTTTTGGATATTCAGGTCACAATGTATATAGAGATTTGCAAAAATCACAGTCTTTGTTACATGAGGTACAATACCCTGAAGTTTTAAAACCTTATAAAACATTTAAAAATAACACAGAAAGGTATAATAAAAAAATTGGGCATATATTTTTATACTGTTATATGACATAAATCTTGGTTGACTATACTGAGCTACTAACAGCAAGAGAGCTAACAGTGAGGCATGTGAAGTCCCAGCAGAAAAATTCCTGTCTGGCTGTACACCTGCAGTGCCAGCTGATTTGAGGAACCTCAAGCTACATCACAGAGTCATAGATACATTTATGTTGGAGAAGACCGCCAAGATCAAGTCCAACCGTTACCCTGCACTGCCAAGTCCATCACTAAACCTTGTCCCTCAGTACCACACATACAGATTGTTTCAATACCTCCAGGAATTATGACTGAACCACTTCCCTGGGCAGCCTGTTCCAATGCTCAGGAGCCCTGGCAGCCCTTTCAGTGAAAGAATTTTTCCTAATCTCCAATCTAAGATTCCCCTGGCACAATCTGACGCCATTTCCTCTTGTCCCATCACTTGTTACTTGGGAGAAGAGACTCATCCCTCAACCTCCTCTTCTCCCAGCAACTCCTGTAGCCATTTCCCAAACAACTTGTGCTCCAGGCCCTTCCCCAGCTCCACTGCTCTTTTCTAGACGTGATCCAACATGTCCATGTCCTTCTTGTTGTGAGGGGCCCAGAACTGAACACAGGATTTGAGGTGCAGCCTCACCATTGCTGAGTACAGGGGGACAATCACTGCCCTGGTCCTGCTGGCCGCACTACTCCTGATACCGGCCAGGGTGTCGTTCTTGGCCACCTGGGCACAGCTGGCTCATGTTCAGCTGGAAGTGACCTGGTGAGGTGGGAAGGTCTAGAAAGCACATGCACCTCACAAGCTTTGCTCTAAGTGAGAAAGATAGATCAGAAAACAAAGTGAACAAAGGGAGAAAGAACAGAGGAATGGGCATGAGTGATAGCCGTGAGGAACTGAAAATAAACAGTAACAGGAAACAGGTACAGTAAAAATGCCTCTACAAAAGAGATCCACAAATTAAAGTTTAGCCATTGAGCACAAATATATTCACTACAGAACACAGAATAAAATCAATTGATCTCAGACTTAATATGGTAAGAATTACAGAATTATACCATGAAATTATAGTGGATACCACTTGCTATCCAGTAAAACTCACTCAAAGAAAAGAGTTTTATCACTAACGCTGCAGTGGCCTATAATAATACAGCATTATGTAAGGTGACATTGCTATTTTATTTATTTATTGATATTGCTCATGAATAGTGTACAATATTGCAACATTTAGTAAATGAAACAGAACACAAGATCTTTACTGGACTCATAGTACCACTGAGCAGTAATTAGCCTATTTGCAAAAATTAAAATAAAAAAGGAGGAAAAAAGATGTTCTGACAGATTTTACATATCCTGTACCACCACTAACCCAGGCCAATCCTCAGCTTCTGGAAAACATATCAGTAATCTTTTGTGAAAAATATATGTGCGAGGGAAAAAAGCCTCTTTTTACACAGCTCAAGCATATTGGAAGTAGCACAACCCTAGCTCCATCATGTTTCAGGACAAACACAAAACTCAGTTTAGACAGAAACAAGTTCATTCAGCAATTCTGTGCACTGTGGACAATTAGTACCTCTTAGGGCTTCAAAAACATGCTGTCATAATTGTTCTGTCACTTAGATATTTTTC